GTGGAGCTACTGGTACCGGTGGTGCCATGACTGAACTGGGTAGCAGTGGTCTGTCGGCGGTCCTGATCGCAGAAAGTATGCCCGTTTTTCGGAGAGGCCGGCTCCGTCCCTGGCGCCTAGTTAGGGGCTTCCAACGTTCCCGCTGCCATAAAAAGCTATTTAGTAAAAGAAAATGACAAACCTTAATTAAAAAACCATAAGCAGTGGTAGCTATAAAAATACAATTGTATAAATTTTCAACATAACTACCAATTAGATCAGACAATGTACCCATGGCTTCATCTATGAGGAGATGATGCATCTCTCATCTTATATATGCGTAAATACAGGATAAACATTACACATGTATGGTACTGTGATAACACCCCAGATGCCCGTCGCTGGACATGCTTTCTACATTGTGCATTTCCTTTTAACAAGGCCTCCTCTTTGCTGTCCACTGGCTCCGTGGTAATAGCACTGAAATGTCAGGTCTTCATCGCACCGCCATATCTAGAAGGCCACCATTGGGGTGAACTTTACTGAACTTTGCAAGGCCACGAATCCTGCTCTCAGTGGGCGAACTGAAATACCTCATAGCTGCCGAGGCACAGATTACAGGGCGTTAAGCCAGGGCTTGATCCAACCGCGCACCTTTGTGGCGACCGAGCGGACAGGCGGATTAGAACAGTGCTCCTCGCCGTCCTTGTGTAGGCAAGGGCAGGGGCCGGTAGGCTGAGCGCTGCTCTTTGGGACAGGAGAGGTCTTCCTCTTCCTCAGAGGACTGGGGATCATGAGCTGAAGTGCTCAATCTGTTGAGCGAAGGTTTACAAACAGTGGATTCACCCGAAAAGCTTTTTCCATATTTTAAAAAAAATTTCTTTCGATTGACTACAAGCTAAAAATAATAAAAACAACTGCTAAAATATGAACATTGCATGTTTTTTAAAAAAAATCTCAATCATCGTACTTACCTAGTTAACGGTGTTACTAAAATTATAACGATGTAGTCAAAGTGTATGTGTGTATGTGTGTGTAAACATATATGACAAACATTAAATCACATCATAAATGTAGCTAAGGCATGTATTAGTTTACCTACGGTAGAAAAATTATTACAAATGTTTTTTTTTTTATTTGCTGTACTAAGTTAGTTTCTTTTCAAATTAATAATTTAGTCATTTACTTGAATTATGACACTAAGGTTCACAATGGGAATTAAGCTATAAAACTATAAGTGGAACTTGCCTCCTTTGCTACATGCATCGAGTAAAAAATAAATATACAAGAAGCAGACACAAGAGTAAATTAGCAAATCTGCATATAGCAAGCATTTATTTCATGGAATTTCACTTAATTCTGATAATTTTTCTAAGAATTCATTCAGAAAATCGGACGCAAAATATCTTCAAATTCAAAACTCAATATTTACTTGCACTATATATAACCTACGATAACTGAAAATTTGTCAGCGATTAAGCACGGGAAACAGCGTAATACCTAAATTATTTTTACAACGTTTAAAGAATGGCTAGAAAAATTTGAATGCAAAAAGTAAGCTGATAAATGTTACTACATTACTTTGATATTACTGTAAAATTTGCTACACAACAGCATCACAATTCAATGATCCTTTGCAGCAGGGGCACATGCAACAGAAATACAATTATCTTTAAGCGATTATACATTTTTCCAGTTACCGTATTTTCCTAAAAATTACAGGCACCAGCTAATGGTAACGAGTAAATAAAATACAAATTTTGTATGTAGTCTGTAACCAGTATTGGCTAATTTATTTTCTGGTATAAAATGATCGCATTAAAACTGAATTAAAAAATACAATGATTCACAATAATCACCATTAATTAGACAGCATAATTTTGTACGCTAATACACGAGTACGTTTTTTGCTTAAAAAATTAATTTAAAAAATATCATAATGTACGTAAAAGCAATGTTTGCTTCTAAAGAACGGTTTTGATCTTATATGAAAATAACTGACATGCAAAAATAAAAAAGAAAAAGAAAAATCAACGGTGAAACTGAGACGACCAGAATTGCGTTTTGTCAATTTAATTTAATTTGCCGCAAAAAAAAAAAACAAACCAGAAGCTTGGTTTAAACCTGAAAAATTGATCAAATATACGCCCGATATATATCAATCATTATTCCCAGCTAGGATTATTATGTGTGTTCCATCGACTGTTTCATTTCAAAATGCTAATAAACCATAAACCATCCAGGTTTGTTTTCTTCTAAATAAAATAAATGAACGTAATTAGCAAAGTAGCATACTGATCATGGAGAAACCGTGTTTCCAAGAAAATCTCTAGTAGAAAAAAATATTACATTACGTTTATCTGCAGCTACTGAGCAACCAGGGGCAGAATCAGGCTACTCTGTCAGCAGCTGAATCACGCCGAGTGGTTTTTGTTACAAAAAAATATTGCTTGTTTTTCATCATATCACTCCATTATCGCCTTGGCATTACTGCCACTAGGAAGTACAGAAGCTTCATGCTGCCACCATATCCCCCCCACGATTATTATTATTAGTAATATTTTTATTATTATTATTATTATTTGTAGGGTTATTGAGGGTAACAATGCACCAAGTTGGTCTGATCTGGATCACATCCCTTAGAAAATAAAACGTTCTTTGTAACTGAGGATCTTGTTTCAAAAATGACGCCTGATAGCGATTCTCGGAGTGCGTAGCATTAGCCGACTTTGTTACGCCTCCTAAATCGTGGGTCTACTAGTAAAAAAAACACACACACCCACACACACACACATTCACACAAACACAACCTCTCTGGGACAGAGATCTGTGGCAGGTTGAGGTTGTCTCTCTGTCACATCACAGGGCAATAAGGGATAGGCATTCCTTCGCCGGAGTAGACAGCGGCTCCTGTACCACAAAATGGAGGCCGATCCACCCCAGACCCCTGCAGTGGGTACAGCTGTATGCAGAATTGTGAGCAATCACAATGCCAAAAGGGGATACTGGCCGGATACTCTTGGACGTCTGCCAGAAACTCCCTGAAAATGTCTCTGCGGCCACCGGACGCAGCGGACCACATCAGTTTTAGAAGGAGACTCTTATAGAAGGACAAGGTTTGAAAAAGGGATTTTCAGGAAAGGAAGGGAGGGAGAAAAAAAATGACTGAGCGGTGCAGATCTTTTAGATGTCACATGACCTGTCACATGACTCAGGATGCACTGGGAAAAGCAATGGCTGAGTCGTGGATTTGCTCACAGTCGTGATCTGCCACAGTTTGCAAGTCATTATGTGGCTGCTGGGTCTGTGTCGTTGTGTACAAACAGTGGGCGTGGCATGACAGAGCACACACCTTAGCTATTCACAGCACAACAATAAAACCAAAAAGCACAATGCTACCAAATGAAGACTCCCTCTATTCCCCAGATCAGCTTAAGGAGCGACATGTCAAATCGGGTTTTCTGTTAGCCAGAGCGGTACTGTAAACCAGCACAAAAAATACTCATCAAGCTAAAAACAGCGACTGCCAGGTAGCAAATCACGCTAAGGGAAACAGCCGCTTGATCATTTTTCAGATTCACCGCGATCAAGGGATGAAATTAGACTGTTTGGCCAAAACTGTGTAGCAAAAAATCATCACACACGGAATGGTCATGCTAACTCCCGTATGCAGTAGCTATGAGACAGCACAGTTTTCACACCACAAGGTATCAATGCTAAGAGAGTGCTGCTGGTGCGCTGTAGCTTTGCTATTTATTTATTTATCTATCTGCAGAGAGCTCCTAACAGGAAGCTGAGTCATTAAGCTTCCCTCTTCGGCAAAACCAGTAGCTACGCTGAAACGTCAGGCGCGAGAGTGCAAAATAGATACGATAACAGGTTCTGCTCTCGCCATCCTGCCCCACACCGGCTCGATAAACTAAAAATTTGTCCAGTCACTTACACTTCAGCTAATTAGCAAAGATCTTGCACGTCATATCAGAGGAAACCCACAACGGCTGCTGCTGAATTCTTAATGGAGGTGGTCTTATTCACCGATTATTTGAGTAAAAAAAAAAAACAACTTTTTTTTTTTATTTAAATTTAAGATTAGTAGTTCAAGCACAATATCCTGGGACGGCCCTTTGTAGAAGTCGCAAAGAGAATTTCACCCACTTCCAAAAAAAGATTCAACGAAATATGCACATATTTTTCAAAAATCCAAATTATATAATCATACCAATGCCATGTTATACATTTAAATATATAAACAAACTGGACTCCTTCATAAAAAGCTAAAAAAAAAAAAAAAACAAGGCAAAACCACTTCAATCCACTGAATAACAGCAAAAATATAAACCAATATAATGTAAATCGCCAGTGAAAATCAGGCATGCACAAATCAGAACCTTTCTCATTCTTTTTACAGTCTTAAGTTGACGCTTAAGATAAATTAAGGACAAGAGGGAAAAAGAAGTGTGAAAAAAACAGCATTACTGAAATAAATAGTCATCAGCAAACTCAGCTACAAGCACTACCAAAGTTTTAATGAATGGAACAACAAGGCGGATGGGCAGTAACGCTGAAGTCTTAAATATCACTTAAAGCTGCATCATGCACGACTGCACGCATAACTCATGATCATGCATGAAAATTACAGATGACAGGAATTTTTCCACCGCTTTTTAAAGTCTCTATCAAAAGATATCTACTGAATATCAGTTTTTAAAAAAAAAAAAAGAGAGAGAGAGAGAGAGAGACAGTTTGAGGGCTGGAAGAGAACAGTGCTGTCAGGGCTGTGCAGGAGCCATTCTCAGCCTCTGGCCCCCTGGGGCGCCGGGTCGACCACCACTAACCCCCCCTCCCACACACACACACACACACACACACACACCCACAACCCGAGGCTCTTATGTTCAACCTCCTGGCTTCTGTGAGCATTCTTTACATTTACCAGCGTGTCCCCCCCACCCCCGCCCTGACACTCTCCCTTCACCATACCTCCCATGTTCCTCCACTGACAGATAAGCGTGTTGATTTACCTGTATGACACAACACCTCCCCTTCCTTTCAGCTGTCTTTGAAGAGGTAGTACAATCCCTTTGCCCCTATTAGCTCACTGTGAACAAAAGCAGGAAAAAAAAGTTATTAAAAGGGGAAAAAATGATGACCCGTCCATTTAACAGCCATAAAGCTTATCCAGATGACTTCCATGATCAAACATCACAAATCAATAAGAAGCGAATGAAATTTAACGTAAGTTCAGTGTTTTCCACCCATCTATCCCCTGGGTAATTTTTTGCCCAGTAAGCTTTTACTGTCCTGCGAAATTTCCCTGGATATTTTGTCCATTCCGCTGTGGTAAGAAATCACCTGACAGGTGAGCGATTTAAGATAACTGCCCAGAGATGGTGTAAATTTAACTGGAAGACGTGTGCAACCGGGAAAATGTCTGACAGAAAAGCCACCGCATGCAGACTTCATTTTCGCAGTTTATTCCCTACAATTAGTCCACCAAAACATAATAGCGGCTATGTTGTTTTATAACAATTAGACTATCATTAGCAGAGAAAATGAGAATTTTTAATACTTTTGCAGGACAAAAAAGTAAGTCTTTAAATATCACGTATAAACTGAAACATTTTCATTCTAAAAATATTGGCTCAAGCAACACGTATAATTGGCCTGTTTGTTCACAAAAATCTTATACAAATAATCTTGTGTTTTTTAAGCCTTGGGCTACTTCAAGCAAACATAAAAGGTTGGTGAGAGTTTATAATCGTAAAAAGAATCACAAAATAATCAAGTGCGTCAGGTTACACTTACAGGACTTTCGAGTGATTCATTATTGAACCTTGCCGGACTTTACTGTTTAGAAGACTATAACGCCAAAGCCAAAACGCCCATTAAATACGTATTGTACACAAAAACTTATTTCTTATGATCACTGAATCCAGATTAGTGTGAATTTAAGAACAAACGCGCCGTGAGTCCCGCATCAGTACCATACACCTATTAACTGCCAAACCTAAGAAACTCCTATGAGCTATGGTTGTAGTTTTCAACCTTACCTAACAATACGTTTATTAAAAAGTGAACCACGATGACATAAAATGTCCTCAGCCGGTATGTCATTGGCAGCCTTGACATCATGTAGTGCACTGTCGCTAACGGCCACTTCCGTTTATTTCTGTGGCAATGATATGATCATATAAGTAACCTTGAGATAAGGTCCGAACTCGAAATATCTCATATTTGATATCCAACCATTGTTGGGAATCAGTTGAGTCACGATCAATACGCCTAAAAAGATATTCACTTTCTGCAGCATAATAAGGAAAATACATCGAGAAACTAGTCGACAAAAAATTCCCAACTACTTCCAAATAATCTGCAAATTCACAATCGGCTGGTTAAGGCCAGGCGTGATAAGTCATCAGTTTTGTCCTGAACAATAATACTGTCAAAGTGAGGTACGTCTCAGGGCGGTGGATACGAAAGCCCTATTACTGGCATACTTGACTTTGCAGGCTCCACATCCACAGGTAGTAAAATGGCACACCAGCTTCAGCATGGATTGGCGCCACCGTTTGAGCGATCCAGTACACGTTGCTTGCCTGTTCGGCTCCCCTTTTCATAATTTACAAATGTGCAACTCCCCCTAGTACAGGATTACTGCCAGGACCAATCACTGAAAGACCCTGAAGGTAGGCATTTGCATGTGCACGCTGTATTGAAGTAAAACAAGAGCCGAACTTTATGCATTGTTCGCAAGCCCAAGTATAGCAATGACGTATGTCACAATTCTCAAAACACATTAAAATACACGTACATCTGTCGTTGCTCTTTACCGCATATTTGCTCTACAAAAAGGTATAATACGTACAGTGTGCTCCGTCTTTACATCACACCTTGGGATGCAAAAGAGGGATCGCTACGCAACTTGTTCACGTGAGCGAAGGTGCGTCACCTGCGCATCTGGTTCGCGGTATAAATGAAGGTTCGCGGGCTCCCTGATCAAAAACGCCGCGTCTCCTGCTGCTTGTTTTTGTATTTATCTGACAGAGCAACGTAGTCTAGATGTACGACTTATCGTCACAATCACTTTGTAAGAAATAGCTACGGCACCTGGTTCTTAAAATTACTACAAACAATGTAATCGTCAGCTTTTATTTCTATTATTTTTAATAACATATTGTCGCATTTATATAAGCAAGCCACAAATGCATTCGGGTTATTGGCTTAAATAAAAGCTTCTAAATCGTAGTTGCCTTACCTGTGTATTTATGAACAGCTGTCTGCTGACACAGACACAGACATAAAAAAAAAAACTTTTCAGCGGAGAAAACCATTGTATTACGTGATTTGCTTAAAATAAATACAAATATTTAGACGCACGCTCGGTAATGGTAATGTCCCCTTTCAGTCCCCGTCGTTTTAACATATTTGGAACAAGACTCTAACTCTTACATCACTTGAATTACTTACAGACAGACACAGACCAGGGACGTGCTTGTCTGTGGCGCTGCCACAGTCTGCAAGCGATCTGCAAAAAATCAGACGGACAGCTTATGAACCAATGACATTGTAAACCCCAACCCTGTTAGCCAATGACAAGAGAGAAACGATAACCCCCAACACCCGGATGTGTGGGGAAACAGACACGAAATCGATGCTTTGCAATACAGCTTGAAATCTGAGCAGTCTGGAGGTGAATAAAGGGCTGTTTCCGAGTTTCTAACAGAGAGGCGATGCAGGCGCGTTCAAGAGCCCAGCTGTAATTCACGGATAACTAATTTATTTTTCATTCAAGTAAATTCACTTAAATAAGTCCAGATATTATTTGTTTTAAAAATGTTCAAAAATAAAATACTCCTTGAGCAAGCTATTGATGAAAAAGAATATTTATGCAAATTCTACAATCAAAATGAAAGTAGTCATTTAGTGCAAAATGTGTCATTAAAAACTAAAATAAGTTTAAAATATTAGGTTAACAATGAAAAGGATTTAGAAAATAAGGGTTTCTTTTTATTCATGTGCAGCAGAATGGTTTATCCCTGATAATTCTGCGCCTTCACCGTAATCCAGTAGCCATCATACATAGTTTTTTTATGTTTTGCCCAAATCAAATGCATTGCAGTTGTTCCCCTTTCGGATGTGTTTTCTAAAAAAGATCAGATTAGATACCTTAATTCTTCCGGCGTAGAACAACAAAGCTGTTTCTAACTGCAAAGCATACAACCCAGTGTTTGAATGTCTAAATCAATACATACGAAGATACCTGGAGCTCCGTTAAAGAACTTTGCCTACAAACGTGAAAATGAAAGCACGGCTGACACAGTAATTAGATATGAATGGAGTATGCAGTTCCAGACCTCGCCAACAGAGGGAATATTATGTAGATGATAGAAGCACTCACACGTAATTTAGAAAAGTAATACAATATTTACAATGTTACTTTGTATATTATTCTGCTACTGTACTCTAAACATGAATTTTAATTCACCTACCTATTAGTTTTAATATAATATTATTTCTTTGAAGAGGAACTACTATGAGTTATTTATTTGATACTTGACATCAAAAATTCCTTCTGCTGATCAGTTTGTTGTTATTTGGAGTGGGGGTGGAAAACAGATCAATTATAACGAAAATGTAAATATTTAAGTATACAAGTAACTGCACTGTTTTGTAGCTAAGAAAAGTGGAATTAACAGTTATCGGTTAAACAAACGATATTCTTCTCCGTACCGGTCTGTACTGCAGATCTCAGAAACCCGGATTTATTCACAGACGCACCTGGTGCACAGACCCGTTCACGACTGACTGAACTGTGCCCCCGAGGCGTTGTTGTGAGTTGCAGGTGAAACACTAGGACGGACGTGGCATCATTAAGGCCACCGTAATTGGACGTGACAGCTATCTTCTGCTCTGGTTCTTGGAAATAAGACGAATGAACTCATAAGGGGGAAACCTGCCTTTCAGCGGCATGTATAAGAGTCTACTAAAGAAACAGTGGTCAAGTTCTTAATATTTATAACCATTCTATTATATTATACTTTCCCTTAATGAATATTCATGAAAATTATGTAAATACAATAGAAAGGCAGAATGCGTTAGTATAGATGATTCGGTCGACTAATAGTAATAACAAAATTAAATGGTGCTTGCATCATGCTGTGATATTTAGTTGTGGATAAATATTTGGTTAAACAATATGTTACATATATGTTTGTGCGACATCAGATGTTTTTTCTTTCCAGGACTATCTAATTATCACTGTGCCGACGGTATAGTTGTAAATTTGAAGTTTATGTTTTATATGATCTGTTCTACTGTGATTATTATCACTCAGTGGTGGACACAATGCACAGGGTCACTGGTGTATGAAGTTGGCGAGTTTTTAGCCTGAAAGCACTTGAGTTTTGTGGGGGGAAATGTGTACTGAGCTTATTTTCAGTTTGCATTAACAATATGTGGTCAGTAGTGGGTGTAGTGTTTCAAGTGTGATTTGTAAAGTGCCATTGCATGCCTGAGCATCATATCGAACCCCAATTGTTTCATTAATAATATAGTTTCATAAATACATAAATAACGTTTTCCATACATTTTCTATTAAGACAAGTACAAAACTTTCATAAACTTTAGAATATGAGTATAATCCAGAAAGGGACCGATTTATATTTCAGATAAATAACTGCTTTTGCAACCTTGACAGCAGTACCTCCCTTGCTAAAGTAAATATATAACAATTGGAAATTGCAAAACGTTTAATTTGGATGAAGGTATTCCCTGAGCAAATAGATGTCATTTTCATGACTTAAGAAGCATTCTTATGCAAACAGTACGAGAGAGCTATCTCTGCCTTGTGTCATAGACACTGAGCAGCGCATGACAGTGATGGTCGGTCTGCAGTTTCGAATGCTGCAACTTCTGTTTGGAAGCAATTAAAACCTAGAAACTGCAGTGTGACAGAGCTGTTCCGAAAGGTATGAAAGCAGGAAAGAGTGTGGTGTGATGTAATAGTTTTTATAAGGAACAAAAACATGCTGCTCTATATTTTGATTATTGTGATTTAGATGATGATGATGATTATTATTATTATTATTAGTAGTAGTAGTAGTAGTAGTAGTAGTGGTGGTAGTAGTAGTAGTACTACATGCAAACTTCTTGGAGGAAATGCAGGTATTATGTTCGTTAAATGACTTGCCTTGAGTAATGTTCAGGAGCAAACACTCACATATAATTCAGAAGAAGATGCTCTGTGGTGACACTTTAAGCTTGATGCTGACTAGTCGTGGATTACGCAATAATGACACTAAAACATAATTATATTTCCATTATAGAATAGAGGTAATGCCTCTTCCACATTAAAGTGTGTTGTGTCTACATGCCATCACTATTGTCAATTGTGTCTGATGAACAAAATGAACTCTTGTACAGCCGTCACTTTCAGTGTTTTTTGCAGCAATAATAGCACACAGATAATGGAAGGATCGGTTTAAAATAGAGCCACACATAGTCTTAATTCCTGTCTTAAAGCTTAGGTGGGGCTAATACCCAGGTCAAGTATTGGGGGTGGGGGGCTACATGAAGGGAACAAAGCCTTTAATTGGCCAGGTACTGTTATTATCAGGGAACTGGTCAGTACGTGGCGTAATAGCTAAGGAACCAAACTGACAAGCAAGGGCACCTGCATCTCCCCCCTAGGAGAAATCCTGCTACCCCCCCTTAAGCTTCTTAACCTCAGTGTTTGAAAAGGCTGATTTAGCTCTCTGTACTTAAGATAAAAGCTTCTAATAAGCAGCTAATTAATTACATTAGTGAACCTGTGGATTAAAATAACAACAATGGGATTGCTTTTATGTGGCATTTCCTAGTTCTATTAATGTTTTACATTAAGTTTGGGGAGTATTTCCTTTCAGTCTCCATCCTCGGCTACGGATATATTTGTAAACCATGTTAATGACACTTTCTTCTATAAATGTATATGTCAAATTATAGTAAAGAGTGTTTAGTAACACTTTACTTAAAGCAATCACATAAATGCATTATAGATACCTTCATAATGCATTATAAAAGTATTGTGAAGATAACTATTTATAAAAAGACTTAACGTGTTATAGCCATGCTTAGTATGTATTATGGATGCTTTATAAAGCTCTAATCTATAATGCACTATAAATACCTTCGTAAGGCAGTATAATTCCTTAATTCTTATACTGACCATTATAATGCAGTATGAAGGTATCTATAGGCGAAGGCGTCTATAATAAACATGGAAATAATGTGTTATTCCTTTTTATAAATAGTCATACTCATGTTTATAATATGCATTGTAAAACATTATAATGACTTTAAGTAAAGTGTTACAGAGTGTTTCTTTCAACTATGATACTTGTTCTCTTTGTTAACTCTCTGAAACATCCGTTCTGGGAGTTCAGTGTCATGAAGCACCACAGAATCACCCAAACAGTCCATCCATCCATCCATCCATCCACCCTTTCCTAATCACTTATCTCAGGGCACATAGCCCATAAGGCAGAGGACACTCAGGATTACAGGCCAGTCCAAAGCAGGACATATAATCTTATGCACATCATCCCACAATCTTGGAGGTGCCAATTAATTTGCCAAGTCAATGTGGTCCAAATTCCATCAGTCACACAAAGCCACAGTACGTCGGGGTGGGGGTGATTGGGCAGCCTCCTTTCATAAATTTTGCTGACCGCTGGGGGGATCGCATTATGTCCACCATTTCTGTACGCAAGTTCTATCAGAATAAACGAGCTCCTGAACCCACACGGATTAATCCTGTATTTAGAATAGGCCTTCCAGAACAGTCCGTGACCATGTGACAGCGTTCAATCAGCACACCAATGTAAGCTGATCCCATGACCACCAAGGCCTCATTAGGTATGCTAATCTTATACAATATGAACACAAAGGTTTATATAACGTTCTGAAATTGGTATATTGGCATATTCATGTACACGTTTGCAAGGACATTCAGCACAAACTAAGCACTCAGCATTATTTAATGAAAGCCTCAATGCACCAAATATATGATCCCTGAGGAAGTATTCAGCACAGGTATTATTTTTGCAAGGGAAAGTGGAACAGAGTCATTCCGCTACACTTTTTCCATCTTTGTAGCGCAACAACTGATAACTGAAATCCTTTTGTCTAAAATCATTGGTGCTGGCAGTTGGCAGCACTTATTAGCGGAATAACGTTATATCGTTTTTTATTCTGTGGAAAAGGAAAGATTGATCAGCTGTCCAGATTTAATCATGAATTATAAACTGGTTGTGGGTTATATAAATAAAATATGAATAAAAAGCTGTTTTGATTGTGATCGATCCCCCCAATAACTAACAAATAATTAACTAAATTACTTGTTTATCCACCATTGTTTTGGGGTGGCTGAGTAGTTTTTCATGAAATTACGTATTTATTTAACATAAAGGTCACAGTTCCTGTTGTGTGGTGGGAAAGTACTACCAAAGTGGCCAAAAGCTGCAAAAGTTCCCGTCAAGATGGCCCAGGAACTAGGTTCCTGAACTTAGGTGA